GAATTGATTTATCACAAATGTCCCATTGACATTCATGTACCATTAGATTAAGATTTTTAAGTCATTTCAATGATTAATCGCAATCTAAAGGAACTATACATGACCTCAGATGGGATGAAGAAATCCTTTCATCGTTGGGTCCGACGAGGCTGGAAACTTGTGCGGTGGCTGGACTCAACGAGAGATTCCCATCAGTGAATAATACCAGCTGGAATTTTTCTAGTTGACTTGCAACGAGAAAACATTCGTGACTTAAAAAGAACCCAATGACCAGCATTGTGAGGATATATAATGCTACTTGTGAATGGCATGATTAAAAATACTTTATAAATTTTGAGATTTACACATTCATCTACAAAATTTGCGAAATATGTCGATTATGCCATCACTTCATTTTACCGCTGATATTAAACGTGTATATGATTGAAAACCAAGCATACAGACAATAACATGTTGCCTAAGACAAATTTCTTTCTGAACCGCTTATAATTTTGCACTTGCATTGGACGATTCTGTCGCTAAACATTTTTTGATGTCTGAACATCTTACTTTGTTTAGGTATCTGTATTTTAGGGGTTAAAACTTGTTAGGTGTCTTTATTTTAGGGGTTAATAGTTTAGAATGATGTCCATTCCCCCAAAACCTTGTTTAATGCTTGAGCATCGCTGCATGCTGCCCGCCCCCATCTCGCAGATTGCACTTCGTCGCTTGTGTCCTCCCGGTCCTGTATTCACTGCAAGATTTTTTTTGCTGATATCGCTGATAAAAATCTTATAATTAGAACAGTTGCTGTACCTGAAAAGGAATAAACTGCGGCGACTACTGCCATGTCTGAAAGCTTCTTTCTTGCAGCTGTCGTTGCTATCGCTGCGAAATATTTTACTTCTAATCCCATTGCAACTGAGGAGCGTTATCATGCTGCTATTGATGCTCTGTCTGAGGACGGATCTTATATTGCTACCGTTTTGACCTGCGTAAATTGTTTAACTGCTGCTGTGTTTTCTAAGAAATGTTCCTCTACTGATAATGTGGAAACATTAAGTTTTTGTCGTATTCTAATTAATGTACTCGTATATGTCGTTCTTCGGAGAGATGGACTTTTTAGTGGTTCTCACCGCATTGTTACATAATGGTGCTTCTTATTACTATTTTGCCATCAGACTAATTCAGTGAACAGCGAAACTTTCTATTAACATTGTAATTAATTCAATTGTTATTCTTCTTACAAGAACGTACGTAAAAGCGACTGGTTTCAATTTACATTTTATCGTTTTTTATAATCTACTTTTACAATTTATCTATTGATCTCATTGCATCATATACATCGTTGTATTGCAATTTCATTTAATTGAGATATATATAGATTAGTGTAATTTAAATTTTATTACTAAAAATCTAGAATTATGCTCTTTTAGTTCCCATTTGAAATGTTTTCTCAGATGCGCATGGTCTGTTGATCGCCAGTCGTTCCTCTGTGATCCGTTCAATCGTTTCCATCAACTATATGAAGTTTAGACAATAAAGCAAATTAGTTTGAACGTTTCTTTACTCAGTGGTGGAAGGCGTGTGCATTGCCAAGGATTTTCGAACGATTTGAAAAAAAAAAAAACGCAGCCGTTCATGATCGCTCCAGGAGGTTTCGAGTTGCTACTTTAGGCGCGCGTTTCTGGAACTTCGTTTCTTCTCCTCCCGATGCTTCGAAGACGAGAGAATTTTTTGCCAAGTGACAAATCTTCTCCACTTGAGTTCCGAACTTCCCTCAAAGCTATCTCGCTTTGGTACACGTCCTTACAAAAAAATGATTCCCAATTCTAGACTTTGCTTCCCATCTAGACTCCCACTGTGGGCGGCGCGCTTCCATGATAACTCCCACTTACATGTAGAAACGCTTTTCCATTAAGACCAATTTTCCAATTTTGAACGCCACATTCCATTAAATAAATTTTCTTATCGTTAATCATTTTGAAAATCATGTTACAGGCCCAAAACTCGTGCTAATCCTAAGAGTACCCAATCCTTGTGAATTTGCTCGAAATTTACTGACCCTCAGGATAAACTATGAACTATGAAAAAATAACTATGTGGCATAGTTATTATTTCGGAATTGTTTGCTGGGTAATTTGACCCCACATGATGCGAAAATTGTGCGAGTACGAGGAGCTATTCCCAGCACTTTGGCTTCAGTCTGAAATACTCGTGTGAAACATAGTAATTCTTGAGGCGGCGATAAATCAGATGATGCAGCCAAATCTAAAAAAACTGTGACTGTTTCATTCACTATTGCCAGTTATCATGTTTTACTTGACGGGGGCATTCAGCTATCCACAAAACGTGTTATTTTCTCGGCTTTTAATTATGAAGTTTTCAGTTCAAGCTATACATTCAGTTTCGTAACTTTTGTAGTGGAATTTGGCGGCTGATATCCTGTCGTATTGATTAATTTATCCTAGTAAAAAACTGTTGAACATGTCCGCGAATATTGCGGGAATATTTATTTTTTTAGGCCTTAAAGTTAACGCCGAAGTGCTGGTGTTTCCTTATTTTATTAGAGCGCGTTGGCTTCTTAATTATGGTCTACGGCTCAAATACACTTCATTTTATGCGCATAATACAAGCGTGTACGAAGTGCTCTTGTCTACACTCAAAATTAAATGACCATAGTAAATTGTTAGACATTATCTCTCCCACAGCTCTGATGCGCCCTTCAATTGCCGGGTCAAACTGGGTCACGATGACCCACATATGGGCAAAAAAAGCATCGCTATTAGGGCTTTAAGTATCACTCATTTCCGTTAAGGTTTGCTCGAATGCTGAGAAATTCCAACAGCAAATTCTGCCCAATATAATATGATAATTTTCACATGTTCTTAATTTTATTTTCAACCACTATTTGTGCATGTATATTCCAATAACAGTACAAGGAATTTAATTGCATGATTTTTTGGTCCTTATTGCAGCACCTAATGCAAAGGAGCCTGTATCTATTCTGCTGCACTCGGAAATCCACTTAGCAGGCCTAAAACCAGGCTATCCACGATACCTGCATTCCACTAAGCGATTTATTATGTTCAATTTATCGTCATCCCTACTTGCTAACTCTGAGAACTAATTTTTCCTGTGTTTATTTGTGAGATAAAACTTATTTCTAAGAAATTTGTGTTCCTCTCGTATGCCGAACCCGATATTACTTGCGTGGTGAGAGCTTCAATTTGTGGGAGTATTTTTCTTTATTGGCAGCTTGTAAATTAAGGAGAATCTGCAGAGGCGCTGCAGAGTGCGGCGATAAGAGACGATAAGGTTGATTGACGCTGCCGAGCTCATGGCTGGAGTTTAATTGGGACATGGAGTGTTGTTCCCGTCATTACATTGACTTCATTAAAACCACGTGATAAGCGCAATGGACGTGCATGCGATGCTAAGCGCAACGGAACTCTTTTCTTGCGCATAAATTCCGCTAATTTTAAGATTTGCAGTGCGGTACGTAGGAGGAAGGTTCACCTAGCGGCTAGGTGAACCTAGACTTTTACCTCGCAATGTGGTCTGTGAAGGTGCTGGTTATATGCAATGTTAGTTATTGTACTTATTAGAGCTTTATAAATCTGTTAATAACTTTCTGTTTACATGACATCGTCAATCTAGAGGGTCAGTGAGCTGTCTGAGACAGCTCACTGGTCAAAGAGACCATCACTCGCTATAGCGCTGGAAGCTGGCACCAGCCTCGCCGTGCCATAGACTGGCCGTATAGCTAGTGCTCTCAGCTTCAAGGACGATACTCCACCTAATAACTTACAAACTAATGGATCTTAATGGATTTTAAGAGTTTTTTTAATATTAAAAATTTAAAAGTAAAATTAACTATTGAATCGCTGTTGTGTTACTAGAGAATGCTTCTGAATACTGAGAAAATGGTTAAATAAGTTGAAAGTCATTTGTAGCTTGATGACATGTCTATGCCAGCGAAACGATTTTGTTAGCTGATAAGGAGACTAACAAAATAATAAATAACTATATTCTCCTTCCCTGTCACTAGATTTACATGAAGAATCAAATTCGGCCTTCTCAAACTAATATTCCTTTTGTTCAGTTCCTTTATATGTATCCCTGCAAATATTTTCAGTAACTCCATCATTGTCTCATTTTCATTTCAGCAGCACCCGACCCTGCAAAATTAAGAGCACCCATGTTAAAATTATTTTATTTAATCCGCCTTTTATATATCATTCATATATGAAGTGTGCAGCCCCGTGTAGGTAGCAGAACAATGACGTCCATGTAAAGATGGGCCTCGTGAAGTAACGAAACAGCTTTCTAAGAAAAAAAAAATTGTTAAAATTTTTGAACTAAAATAATGTGAGTTTTGGTAACCATTCACTGCGTCTGTCGCTGCCGGGAACGTTTGCTTATCGCTGGCCGTACTAACAGCAAGTCGCTGGACTGTTTGTCTGAAAACTTCAATGATGGAAATGGTCTTAATTATTCGTTAGATCAGATTCGTTTCACGAACTCTCAGGCCCTGCACCACTCAACGGAGTGCTCTTTAACTTATTGCTGCAACCCCTCAGCTGGCACTCATAAAGTTGGATTTTCTTGATTTTATCTTTCAAATGAATTTTAGCGTTGGCATTAATTTTTTTATTAACTTTTAATCTGCATTCAAGGAAACCGCACTAAAGCGCGGCTGCTTTAGCAAAATACGATGAGCGCATTACCGAAGCATGGCTGTCTAAGAAAGTAAGGATGAATGCATTATCTTTATGAGGATCCACTGCCGCATCAATTTAGCAATTTACTATCCTGTGATGTACCGGGTGTTTATTAATTCATTGAATAGGATGATTTATTACTCAAGCTGCACACCAAAAAGCGCATAGCTTCCGCATCTCTGAGGCATTCAAGTGATTATACGTGTGCAATTTAAATAGTAACCTTAATTCTTTTGTACGGGGCTTATTTTTCCAAATCATGATTATCCGGTTATGATAATTTTTCTTTTGTTCCAGGTCGCTGTATGACAACAACATCAAGACGATCCAGGAAGGAACTTTCTCGGCTCTTCCTGCAATACAAACCTTGTAAGTGCATAACTTTTAACAACTCTTACGTCGGTTATATCGCAGGATAAGACCGTTGCTGTAACACTACGCAGTGCCTGCGTGAGTTACCCATGTTCATCATCTGTTCTGTTTCATCATTCGCACGCACTATACAGCTCACATTTGTTGTGTTCTGTTTCATCATTCATACGCACTGCAGCTCACATTTGTTGTGTTCTGTTTCATCATTCATACGCACTGCAGCTCACATTTGTTGTGTTCTGTTTCATCATCAATATGCACTGCAGCTCACATTTCATGTAATTTTTTTGACCCTCAATACGCACTGCAGTTTTTACTTGAGCTATCAAGAGTTTGTACAGCATACAGCTGGTGAATTTTGAGAGATCGATTTTTTTCGTACATATATAGGAAATTAAATAATTCTATTTCCTTTATGCACTTTGACTGATGGATGAAGCTGTTTGAAGTTATGAAGCAATTAATGCAATCACAATCAAGACATCGAAAAAATATATTGTCCGAACTAATTATACTGAATGTAAATATGAGTTCTCGATTACATTTTGTTTGGTTGAAGTTAGATTTTTTTATGACCCAGCACCGCCTGATTTATGTCCCCATTTTAATTTCCTTTCATGTACTCATTTGCACGAGTGTCATTTTCCTCTGGCGAGTGCACAGAAGTTCTTTCTTCCATATAAATTCAAACCTTATTTGTTATGATAGCCCACCAATTCACTATATTTCTTCACAAATTCTGGTTCGTTATCGCTGATTTTTAAATTTGGTTCAAAAAAAAATCTGGAGTTTATACGGCTCTCAATTGAACCGCCTCGCGGTCGAGGCCGCGATCACTCATCTTTTGGACCCAACCTTTGAACATCATTTCCTCGGTTCCTTTGATATCTAATAAAAACTCAGCTGGGACTTCCTAGCGCCCTCCCTCCCTGCCACCCCTCTTCCCTCTTTTTATTTGTTAATTAAAAATGGAAATTTTCCCTCGAGTTTGGTCGGCTTGTAGTCGCTGCTTGGAGCCTCAAGGCACTGCAAGACCGATTCCATGCTGCAAGATTTTATGTTCAGTTCCGCTGTTTTCATATTTATTTTAAAAGAGTTAAATTATTTATAAATGATTTGTATTTTTGAATCTTAGCATCCTTAGGCTCTGGTATCCACTTTAGTTGGCTTAGGCAGCGGAGTGAATAGATATTGTCACTATAGTGAATATAGAGTGACCGACGCAATATATAGAGTGAAAATAATTTTTGTATGTAGAGTGAATCAGAAAATGCACATCAGAAAATAATGAATGACTGAACAGCTAACAAAACTATGACTAACTCTATTCTGGGCGCAAAATGTTTCCCGTTGAACTAAAATTTGCGTTCGAAAACAACTACAGCAATATATAAGTAGTGTCAAATGCAAATAAACTAGCATCCAAAACCTGTACATTTTCCAAAAATTAATTTAAAATATCGTAAATGTGGGACTGGTATTGCATAATACGAAAATAGTGTGAGCCCACCGCACGAATGACGGACGACGTGAGTACTAATGGTTCTAACCAAGAGTGTTACCACGAAGTGTTGGCAAAGACATAAAAAGAACCTTTTACAAATCGCAGAAAAATTCCTGGTGCCACATTCTAATTAGTTTATCGAATGCCGCTGCAAGTTATCCCTAATAAAACAGCACCTGTTGAGGATGCTAGTATAAGTTTTTGCAGTTGTTAATATCTCATCGTTTAGTTATCCGCTTCCTTCTAATTTATTTTTCCCTTATTTCTTCATATAAGATCCTAGTCCGCACAGTACGTTTCCTAGACGACCTTCGTATCGCTGAAATATTGCAGCGTCGAGTCCTCCGGTGCAGCGAGCGAGACACGCTTTAACTGCTGCGAGTGAATGGAGCTTGGGAATAAATTGTGTTATCTCGGATATTGTGTTATCACGCTGCGGGTCACGGCGCTTATCTCGCGCCTCGCCGAAGATTTATTCGATGCAAGCGTTTGGGCTCAGCTCAAGCTTCTCCGACTCGGGCGGTGCCGGCACGGATAGCGGTTTTTTCAACGGCATGATCGTAACAAATTTCTTATTGTTAATTGTCTTGAAACATTTTTTTCTCGAGAAGAAACGGCCAAAAAGTACGTTTTTTATGTAGTTTATTTAGTATTTCTTTCTATAATCTTTTTTTTTATGTAGTATTTCTTTGATTTCTATCCAAATTATAAGTTTACAACTTTCTGAGACGGCGTTCATTTTGATTTTTTCCCTATCAATTTCGTGAAATTTCAGAAATTGGCAGTACGCATGAAGTCTATCAGTTCAGTGAAGTATAAGCCTAACAATTCGTGAAAATATGACTTTCATGCAGTTCACTCAAACTACATCGTATAGACAACAAACCTCCTACTCCCACTCCCAAAATGCGAGCTGAACATAACTTAGCCAAATATTTCTAAGTGAAATTTCGCTTAAATAATTTTTTATCCATGACACATTCTGTGAAATATGTTTTCATGCATCTAGGAATATTCTGAAAGGAAATAAAACGCAAAAACACAACACAATCAAAAAAAAACACACAAAAAAAAAACACAATAAAAAAAAAGTCCAAAAGCTCCATCCTACGCGTGGTGAGGGTATAGGCATTGTTATTGTTTTTGGAACAATGGATTTCTGGTTTATTGCCTGGAAAATTGGGCCTGTACAACAAATGGAATCATAGAGGTTTGTTAAAATATTATTTCATCGCTACAATTTTCACCGTGCTGCGCAGGTGTTGGTCAAACTGATCCTTTTTGAAGCGTGTTATGTTGACTTGGATCTTTTGTACTGATATCGACTCCGGGCGATTGAATCCGAGCTTTAGGAAGCCTATATACTGCCGTATTGGATGCGCTCACGATCCCTGATAAGCAAGCAGACTGCAAGCTATACATGCACGCTTAAAATAGGTTATAACGGGCATTTTTTTAGTGCTGTTATCTATACTTCATCGCTTTAGTTTCTTATTATTTTACATTTTAGTTGTTTGATATCGTCATTCAAATCGTTGAGAATAAATTATCATCACGGAACTTGGAAGAGCATAGAAATTAACGATTGTTGTTTAAATTCTAGCCAATGATAACATACCTCAAACTGCGATTGCAATAGGATTTGTGAATTGGAGTGTCAGGAGTACGTAAGAAGCTACTATTTTAATAGAGCTGCAGTCCATGAAGCTTGTTCCGTTGATAGCCATGTTGGCGCCGTCCCGATAACAATGTTGACAGTCATCGCCACTGCGAATGGAAAATGCATATGTTATGCATGGATTTATACGGCTCGACGCAGATACGGCTCTATGATTTTATTTTATCATTTGCAACCATGTCAGACCTCGCAATTGAATCTTTTGCTTTTTATTGTTAAAAATATTGACTATGCATTTCAATGGCAAACGCCTTTTATCGTCAGTGGGTTTGATATTGAAATAGTGATATCAGAGTTGATTATAGGCTGTCGCCGATTATTATAGGCTAGTATATAATTATAATCGGCGAGTTATAGGCCTGTCGCCGATTATTTCATAACAACCCACTCTGCCACCTCTAGCATCGTAGCCACATCTCATATTGTTTATTGTTACATACAAGTTCGGATGCTTGGCTACTGTCAGGCTATGATTGCGGTTGCCAACGAGTAAACCAGTACATTGCGCTCAAAATTGTAGTGCGCGAGGTAAACTAAAATGGATTCATTCTTATAGTTATCACCCAGGAGTATCTCCAAGGGTGATTTAAAATGCAATTCTATCATTGTGTTGTGTTGTTGTTATATACCATTTCTCCCCCCAGACACCTGGGGCGCAACCCGTTCGTATGCGACTGCTCCCTGCAGTGGTTGTCGGAATACTTGGAGCGCAACCCCATCGAGACGTCGGGCGCGCGCTGTAACCTACCGCGCGCCCTCAAGCGCAGGAAGCTCACCGCCCTCGCCGGACAGACGCTCAAATGTCGGTGCCGCTGCTTCCTTCCCTTGCCTTTTAAAATTATTGTTTTCATTTACTTTGTGGAATGTTCGGGGGTTTAAAACAACCTTTAAATATAGGTGCTTTATAGTTTTTCTTTACCACTATTATTAGCAAGAGCAGTTTCATTATTACAGAATATTTTTCGACGATTGGAAACGCTAAAAATCAGAGCTAATTACTTCAATCCTGAATTATTCACATTGTGTCTGCAATTACTTAGTCTAGAGAAGCAGTTACACTCCGATAACCCTTCTCGCATTTTTTTATTCTTGGCTTGAACTTCCTCCTCCGTTGTATTTTCTCGCCGGCATTTCTTATTCCCTGCTGAGAGTGCTTTTTATTTTAAATATGTCTCTTGAAAATTGCGAGCAATTTATATTATATATTATATTCAATTTGTAATATATATTTTATATTCAATCCTCTGTAATATTTTCTTTCATTTATTTTAATAAATTTGTAATGTCTCCGGAAATTATTTTCTCTGTGTAAAAGTTCAATTACGATCTTGCGAAAGCATTTAGTTCCCATTTTTTATATTCTCACATTTCTTTTTATTGCATTACTTGATGGAGATAAATGTAATTTTCCTGTATGCAGGCACTGACGAGACCGTAGCGCAGTATGCAGGCGCATGCGTCGCTGCCGAGGAGTGTCCTCGTGGTTGTTCCTGCCGCGGTACGACAGTTGACTGTACCGCTGGTGGCCTCACGGCGCTGCCTGACGCACTGCCGCCCTACACCACTGATCTGTCAGTACTTTCGTTAAACATACCTGAAACTTTAAGAAAACCTAAAAAAATACTTTTAAAATATTACTTAATGCTTTAAATCTTTAAGCTCGAAAGAACTTTGAAATCTTTTTAAAACTTCAATCTTTAATCTCAAAAGATCTTTAACATATTTGTAGAAATCACAAAAAATCTTGTTGAATCTCAGTTATTGATTTGACTACTGGCCTATTTGTAGCTTAATTAAGAGAGCTTCTTTGGTAGGACATTGATAATAACAGCTTCATGTCAATGTTTTGCTGAAAATCTGGATAAATATTCTTTGAATATTCTCTGCTAATAGGTCATGGTTATTAAACCATGACCTATCCTCGAATTAAGGATACACTCAAAACTTCACTGAAACTTGTTTTCTACTATCATTTAGCTGCTTCATCCTGAAGGTGCTTGTACACAGGGAAAGTTTTAGCTGCTAATATTGCTCCATTGTAATTTTTAGGCTAATTTATCCTTCTTTAGAAATTAGCAAGGAGCGGGCGCTTGTAGTCGAAAGAGTTTGAGTTTAAAGCGTCTGCTCGCGACTGGTAGAAATAGGATGGAATCAGCCGTAAGTAACAAAGTCGATGATGCTCCCAAGATATATCCCTGTCTTACAAAGTTTTCGCCTATGTTTTCTGCAACGTTTTTCACCTCAGCTAGAGTGCCAACAATTTTACCAACTGCTTTATCAAAAGCCGACTCAACTCGCCGGCTTCTAACCACCCACCGGCGCAACTGGCGGATACAAATACACTATTGCAATCGTCTGATATTTTCTCCGTGGACAATCTCCTTAACTGTTGCCGTCTATACTTTCTTTCACTCATTGTTTGCGTGCGCTAAGGCGGGCCAATTATGTGACAAGTCAAGTCGCCTGTAATAAAAAATATTCTCGAATTATTTTAATTACTTTTATTCTTTCTATTTAGCTTGGAATGAGTTAAATGTTTGATGAATTCTATTTACAGATACATGTAACTTGTGTTATATTTCTTGATATATCAACTTCTCATCAATTCTGAAGGTATCAGATTTTGTATTTTATCTGATGCACGCAGGCGAAATATGCTATCACTTGACGGGTTTCCCTTAACATGACGTAAGTTGTTATAATATTGCACGTTACCCAGCCTGTTATCGGACAACGAGTTAGGCGAGGCGGCCGCCACAGACGCGGTACGACAACTGGCGCGGCTACGGCGGCTGGTGATGACCAACAACCAACTGCGCTCCCTCACTCAAGACCTCTTCTCAGGCCTCACTACCCTCGAGGAACTGTAAGACATCAATATATTGCTTTGGTTTTGAATGAAATTTGGGTATCAAGTGGTATTTCTTTTATGACTTTAGTTCATTCAAAACTTTAATGTTGTGTTTGTTCAACGTGTTTTGTAATGTCAAGTAATATGCGTCTCGCGCTGCGATCATACTCGTACACTCTCAGACTACTACACTTTTTGGTAAATGTGTAGTTATAAAAGAAATGTTTTATGTCGCTCCGATGACTCGTCGATAAAGCTGATGGATTGAAGTTCATCCTCAGTACCTTGATACGTTCTTGTAAGCATTCGTCCGCATCTGCCTCACCTCTATAAACAAGAAGCAACAACATCGTCTTGCACTACTCCGCTGGCGAGAGCGACATCCCTGTAGGCGGCTGGAAGGCGACGGAGGTGGTGCATAAGCATGGCCGTGTTCGCTTACGTACAGAATTTTCCAAAAGAACATAATTCCTGTTGAATATCAAATCAGACGTTCCAGGAATAATTGTATCACATTAGTGAAACGAACCTTCCTTAGGTCGTGAGAAGGTTGTCATTGAAGAAAATTTTGGTGTTGCGAAGCCTGAACGCGGCTATTCACTCGAACTTTGGAATTGCGCATTGGGATTTCGCTTCAAGAATCGGCGACAGGCCACAACAGGCCTAATATTCAGCGCCGAAAATACTATGTTATGTTACATAGTTATTTTCTGTTATATTACGTTATGTTATGAAATGAAATTTTATGTTATATTATGTGATAGTATTTTAATTTAGTTAATATTTCACAGAGATTTGTCGGACAACCAGCTGACCATCCTCACTGGGGACGAATTCAAAGACCTGCCCCAACTGACCACGCTGTGAGTCTCCCTTTTACGTTTTTTTCAGCCTATACTTGTGTGTTACTTGGGGCTAGGGATGGGACTCTTAAGATCCAGCTCATGAGTTCCATGCTTCTAGAGGCAGGATATGTACTAAGAACTTATATTACAACACTTCTCTTCACTTCTTGTTGTTTGTTTGTCAGCTACAAATCTTATAGGTAATCGATATTTAACACACTTCTACCTGTCTAACCGATATGAAATTTTGCACACTTGCATAAAGTTGGAGACAATCCGTGAATCAATTGACAGAATAAATGATTGTGAAATTTTGAAGAAAATTTATTAAATATATTGAAAAAATATTAAAATATTTATTTTCAAATATTTATAAATAAAATAATAAATTCATTGCACATGTGTAACATCAAAGACACTGGCCTCTTTAGAAGTCTTGTCTTTAAAAAGTAATTTTTAAATACATATTTTTTTCATTCTTCATTCAAAATATCATAATGTCTTTTTTTCAAATATTATTTTAAGTTTCCTAATATCATAAATTATTAAAGATTATATCTTGCGCAGAATGCTGACCAACAACCGTCTCACGTGCATCTCCCCTGGCGCCTTTTCGTCTCTGCCTTCCCTTCAGCACGTGTAAGAAATGTTACAAATTTACATTATTTTTAGGAATTCCTGTTTTCAACACGTCTGTTCATAGAGGGAAACCATTTATATATTCATTTCTTTACGTATTATTAATTCATCAGGTTTATTGTAATGAACTGAATAATCATCGCCTGCGTTGCGTACTCGCCCTGACTGCCGCACTTGCGTTAAGTGAGAAATCAAGTTCTCAGTCCAACGTATTCTGAACTACTATGTAGTAATAAATTAATTATATGACCTCAATATACACTCAAATAAATGAGTCAGACTTGGTGCAAATAGCGGTGCACTTTTTGCCATTGTGTGGGTCATCCTGACCCAGTTTGGTCCGGTAGAATGGCGTGTCAATGCTAAATCCTTTACAACTTTTTTGAACAATATAACCTATTAATTTTGTTACTGTACATTTGCATATAAGCATGCAAACCTGAATATTTCTAAATGATGAAATTCCACCCTTCAGAGGGCTAGAGGGCAACCCGCTGGTCTGCAACTGCCATTTGGGTTGGTTGGCTGAGTGGCTGCGGCTACACAGCCAGCAACAGCCGACCACCTCCGTACCAGCGTGCAACGCTCCGCAACATCTGCGCAACAAACCAATCACCGAAATACCGCGCTCTGCATTCTCCTGCCGCGGTAATTCTGTCGCATAGACGTTATTCTGACATTCCTTATGCACTATTCTTATGAGAATGATAACTTTCCATGCAATATTTCCAATGATTTTGCCAAGGGAAGTCAGATTCTCACCGCGCTCTGCCTTCGCTTGTCACGGTTATTCTTTTTCACATGCGATGTATCCCGTCCCGCACGATTTTTAACCTTGTTGCGGCAATAGCAGGCCTTTTCTGTCTTCTTATGTCACTTTTTAATAACTGTAACTCTTGTAAGCCTGCGTTGTAAGCCCTTGCATTGCGTCTATTGCAGCGGCGGCAATAGCAGGGCTTTTCTGCCTTATTATGTCGCTTTTTAATAACTGTATCTCCTCTAAACCTGCGTTGTAAGCCCTTGCATTGCCCCTTACAGCGGGCGAGTCGTCGGAGTGTCTGGGCAGCGGGGGGCAGCTGTGCCCCGAGAAGTGCTCCTGTGAAGGCACCGTCGTGCGCTGCTCCAGGGCGCGTCTCACCGCCATCCCCTTGGGCCTTCCCGCACACACCACCGAGCTGTGAGCCTCGTGTGATGGTGATGTGGGATGGGGATGTGGGATGTTGGGGTGTGATGTTGTGGTGTTGGGGTGTGATGTTGTGATGTTGTGGTGTGATGTGTGATGTTGGGGTGTGATGTTGGGGTGTGATGTGTGATGTTGGGGTGTGATGTGTGATGTTGGGGTGTGATGTGTGATTGTGAGGTGTGATGTGTGATGTTGGGGTGTGATGTGTGATGTTGGGGTGTGATGTGTGATGTTGGGGTGTGATGTGTGATGTTGGGGTGTGATGTGTGATGTTGGGGTGTGATGTGTGATGTTGGGGTGTGATGTGTGATGTTGGGGTGTGATGTGTGATGTTGGGGTGTGATGTGTGATGTTGGGGTGTGATGTGTGATGTTGGGGTGTGATGTGTGATGTTGGGGTGTGATGTGTGATGTTGGGGTGTGATGTGTGATGTTGGGGTGTGATGTGTGATGTTGGGGTGTGATGTGTGATGTTGGGGTGTGATGTGTGATGTTGGGGTGTGATGTGTGATGTTGGGGTGTGATGTGTGATGTTGGGGTGTGATGTGTGATGTTGGGGTGTGATGTGTGATGTTGGGGTGTGATGTGTGATGTTGGGGTGTGATGTGTGATGTTGGGGTGTGATGTGTGATGTTGGGGTGTGATGTGTGATGTTGGGGTGTGATGTGTGATGTTGGGGTGTGATGTGTGATGTTGGGGTGTGATGTTGGGGTGTGATGTTTGATGTTGGGGTGTGATGTGTGATGTTGGGGTGTGATGTGTGATGTGTGATGTTGGGGTGTGATGTGGGATGTTGGGGTGTGATGTGTGATGTTGGCGTTTGCGTATGATGTATAATGTCTGTGTGTGATTTGCAAGATTGGTGTGTGATGTTGTTGTGTGATGTGAATGTTTCTGTGTGATATATAATGATGTTGTGTGATGCTGGTGTTGTGATTCCTAGAAATGCTGAATCATAGTGATGTTAGTGTCGTGATGCTTGGTCCTCACTCACCTCATTGATGTTGTGTCTCGACACTTACGCGTCACTAGTTTCAGTAATTCTATTAGTGTAACAATAACGCCTCACTGCCTTCAGTGCGTATATATGCAACTGAAGGCATTTGCATACGCATAAACAATCCCTTGCCTGGTTGTGTTGATATTAAATGTTACTGTAACAGTAATGTTGCATCGTATTGCGAAATGTAGTCTACTCACTTATCGCTGAACAGTGAGAAGGTTTCCCATGTTTATAAGCCAATAAAACCAATTACTGTCAGAATTGTCTAGCCAAACAACTAATTAATGTCATAATTGACTAGCTAATAAAACTAATTATTGTCATAATTGACTAGCCAATAAAACTAATAACTGTCATAATTGACTTGCCAATAAAACTTATTATTGTCATAATTAACTAGCCAATGAAACTAGTAACTGTCATTATTGACTAGCCAATAAAATTAATTATTGTCATAATTTACTAGCCAATAAAACCAATAACTCATAATTGACTAGCCAATAAAACTTATTATTGTCATAATTAACTAGCCAATGAAACTAGTAACTGTCATTATTGACTAGCCAATAAAATTAATTATTGTCATAATTGACTTGCCAATAAAACCAATTACTGTCATAATTGGCAAACCAATAAAACCAATTACTATCATAATTGACTAGCTGATAAAACCAATTACTGTCATAATTGGCAAACCAATAAAACTAATTACTATCATAATTGACTAGCTGATAAAACCAATTACTGTCATAATTGATTAGTCTCAGCCAATCCCCTCCCTCCGCAGCTACCTGGACGTCAACGAGATCACGGAGATCAACGCTGACCGCCTGTCCCACCTCAAGGCCCTGACACGACTGTGAGACTTGCTATTATATAATATTTTATTTACTATATTACTTGATATAACGCGTTACTGGTTACTTTATATAACGCGTTACTGGTTACTTAATGAAACGCGTTGCACGTTACTTCATATAATGCGTTACTGGTTACTTAGTAATATAACGCCTTATTCGTTACTTCATGTAACGCGCTATATGAAGTAACGGTTCTATTCGGTTCTATTATGAGCTTTGAAAAATCCATATTTATGTGCTTGAATCAAATAATAAAATTTGGCTTAATTCTGTGACATAAGCACTCATTCCATTCCTTCAGACCAAACTGTAGAGTAATTTTCCAACTGCCCACTACTTCTTATCCATGATCATTTAAGCATGCTAAACTTGCCACTAAATTAAATATATACATCTTCTGTTCCTTCACTACGGCATGTTAATGAGTCCATCAATGCTAAATAACCACTCCTAAATGATGTAATTCTTCGCGATGTTGACTTTGAAATAACCTGCCCCCAAACAACACAATAAGTCCAGCAGCTATCTCAATCAATCGTCAGCTATAGAAAGATAGAGTTCCAAAGGCCGGATCCCTTGTGAATCAAGTCACGAAAAGTTCAAGAATCGGCAACAGGCCATGGGCCTATTTCTTCAGCGCCGACACTTCTATTCTATTCTATTCTAACAGGGACCTGAGCAACAACCAGATCGCAGTGCTGCAGAACAACACCTTCTCCAGGCTCTCCCAACTCTCGACACTGTGAGTCATAACATTTTTAGTGCGCTTAGGAAGTAAATAACATTCCAGACGCTGCACTATCTAATGTTGCATCTGTACTAGTAGTGACCTAAATACACGTAGCGGCCGCTTTTTTGTCTTTGATGGGGGATTTAGCTTGAAAAGACAGCAGTGATTGGCTTACGGAATTACGGACTCTTAACTATTTATGATACCCCAGGGAAGATCATGCCAATAATATCGGTGGCTCGTTGAAATATAATGTGCAATGCGACAATAACGGTGGCCCATAGAAATATCACGATAGCACAATATCAGTAACACGAATTGCACGTACCAATAAGACAAGTATGGTAACACATTAAAAAATCACGTACTAGTTTTGCAAAACCAGTACCACTTTCACAACTGGTATAATTTCTGCAAAAGCTAATACTGCCGATAGTATGTCAAGGGGTTCACAACATGGATCATTTAATTTAACATTTATTTCGGTAACTTGCACCATCCATTGCACTAAATTGCTATGAAAGTGAATGCGTTTTCTATTTATCTAAACTGGCGGCACTACTAGAATTTTACAAGGATATCCATATGTAAATATCGCACAACGTTCACCTGCGACTATAAGTCTAATCGTGTCATTATTTAATTTTTGTATTTAATTTTTTATTTTAAGCATATTATTTATTTATACTGTAAATGAGTTGTATTGATGAAGTTCTTCGTTGTGGCAGCATCGTAAGCTTCAACAAGCTGCAATGCATGCAGCGCGACTCCCTCGCCGGCCTCACCAAGCTCAGGATTTTGTGAGTGGTTAATTAAAATGAGTGACCATGCATTGGTCCTCAAAATTTGTATACATAAAATTCTTGAACATAATAACAATTCTTACTGGTTGATTTGACGTGGTATCATTTTCACACTTGTAAATTTTCCCATTGAAGAGATTTGGTTCAAAATTAACCCTTCCAGTTGATATTTTTTTATTGTTAATTGAGAACAGGTTAAAACTGCTCGTATAAGCATGATATTTCTCTTATGCTCGTCCTAGAGTCTTGCTCTCCAGTACCTTCGGTTGACAATCTTAGGGGTATACCTAAAACTCTATTGTATGAAGAACTTATTTGTTTCCCATCCCCTTTGCAAACAATTTTTTATATTCTTCAGATCCCTTCACGGTAACGACATCTCGCGTATTCCGGAGGGCACCTTCCGCAACTTGGAGTTCATAACACACATGTGAGTTTTGTGATTATGTATTTACTTCAATATCTTAGCAGGAAAAGTACACGTGTACGGCCTTCTCTCTTAGCTAACAAAATAAATTTCCTTTCTCACCTCCATCCGTCACGCGTCAATGTAATGCGTTGCATGATATTCAGTTCATTACAGTACCTATCTATTTTTGGCTATTATTTTCTCCGCGAAGAGTCGTAAGTCGTTTCCTTCAGTACCGTTATCTCTGTGTGAAAACTATCTCTCTCCATTGATATGGAATACGTTTCGTTTAAATTATTTATTCAAGATTTTAATTTGTAAAATCCTGTTCCGGATAATAAACATGTTACCGTAAGATTCATAGTATCTCATATTTCTCCGCTTTATCTGACTTGGGGAATGTTATCGTTGTCAGCGCGTTAGGGGCGAACCCTCTGTACTGCGACTGCGAGCTGTCGTGGTTGTCAGACTGGGTTAAAGTTGACTTCGTCGAGCCCGGCATCGCGAGATGTGCTGAACCTGCGCCCATGAGGGACAAGCTGGTGCTCACCACCGCCACTGAGGCCTTCGTCTGCACGCCCAGAGTCCCCAATGAGGTGAGTGGTGTCCATGAGGGACAAGCTGGTGCTCACCACTGCCACTGAGGCCTTCGTCTGCACGCCCAGAGTCCCCAATGAAGTGAGTGGTGTCCATGAGGGACAAGCTAGTGCTCACCACTGCCACTGAGGCCTTCGTCTGCACGCGTAGAGTCCCCAATGAGGTGAGTGGTGTCCATGAGGGACAAGCTGGTGCTTACCACCGCTATGGGGACCGGAAACAATGTTATCATATGAGTTTTTTAATTGTAATTGTAAATGGCATAAGGTTCGCTATGACCATGTAGCTGGTGCGTAAATTCCTGCTTTGATTTTATTTGATTTTCAAGGCACTGAGTTTTCCATTCTACATAGACCGTCTGGGACCTAGATTCGTCATCACCTTCTTATATATTGATAGGTGGGCATTCTACGAGTATATCAACGATGTGTTTCAGTTCATTATCCTATTTCTAATCTGATATGAAGTCTTACAGAGGCTCAGGAAGTTAAATCAAGTAATCAAGTGGTATTAGCGTTAATTAGGCCGTATGCCTGTCGTCGATCTATCGCCGAACATTCACAGCTTGTTGCATTCTCAAGCACACAGCTCAATGATCTAATTTTGCTTTGCTTAATCGCCCGGTCTCCTCGCCGAATCTAACCAGAAACTGGCGCACAGAGCTGGGATTGAACCCGCACCTCCCTGCTCCAATCCTGATACTCTGTCCTGTAACCACAGGGCTAAGCTTATTTCTACCTTATTAAAGCACGCAGCATCACGCTCTGGTTATTCGCGCAGGTGCTGGCGAAGTGTGATCTGTGCTACACGCAGCCGTGCGAGAACGGCGCCACGTGTCACAGCCTCGCGAACCGCAGCTACGAATGCGTGTGTCCGCCTGCGTATCACGGCACTAATTGCGAGTACAAGATCGACGCCTGCTATGGGAACCCCTGTGAGAACCAGGGCACCTGTAAGGTCGTCGAAACAGGCAGATTCAGGTAATTATATCATTTAAAACATGTTATATATATTGTGTAGTTATCATGGGAATTGGGTTGAGGCCTCCGTTTGCAACTGCTAACGCTCGAATATTTTAGACACATTGCTCTATTTTATTTAATAACTTATACATTACTACACCCGTTCGGCACCTGTTCGCAGCTGTCACTGTCCGCCCGGGTTCCGAGGCATCAGATGTGAAGAGAACATCGACGACTGCACGGAGCACAAGTGCGAGAACAACGGCCAGTGCGTGGACATGGTGCTGCGCTACCGCTGCCAGTGTCCTCCGGGATACACAGGTCTGCTTTTTTCTGTTGTATAATTCTTCTCTGTCCGTTGCTGCCTTCTGTTGTTGACTGTTCTTCGATTGGTCACCCCTGGACATTTATGCTAATTGTACATTAGCATTAGTTACGTGTTGGATTGCTGAAATAATAATTAGGCTTGTATTGATTATGCAAACTTGGCAAAATATTATAAAGAATTTACATATCTACGTTGTGTTTTCTAATAGCCAACTGAGCATTCCGTTGCGTAACGCAAGACTAGACCTCGCATGCCATCTAAGTTTATATATAATGAGTGTTCAGGACCTGATATACATCACTGAGCGATTCTCATACACATTCGCAATTCACGTAATGCTCTACATTGAACTTACTTACTCATGCCACATAATCTAGGTCACTGTATTGCATAGAATTCACATGCAGGAGAAAATATTGTCGCTTTATTAATGTCAACGCTCTTCAAGCTGTAACTAATATCAGAACAAATTTACAGCCGTGAAAGTCCTAAAAAATAAGATGTTTGTTATGAAGTTGCCGTCTGAAGAGAACTGTGCTCACAGGTGAATATTGCGAGAGGAAAATCGACTTCTGCAGTCGTGAGTTCAACCCGTGCAAGAACGGGGGCTCGTGTGTTGACCACGTAACGTACTACGAGTGTCAATGTCCGCTGGGATTCACCGGTGACAACTGCACCATCGACATCAATGACTGTGAAAATAACTTATGCCAGGTGCGCTTAGAACGTATAGCCTAGTTCGCGGTCCACTTTCCTTTGTTACTCCACTTATCCAAGCTCTTCTACCTCGTTCTGCTCATGCACTCAGTTTCTGAGTTCTAATACCTTCCTGTTATAACTTAACCTGATAATAAGGACATTCACCTAACTGTGAAAGCCGCCTGTTTGGTCCATCGACGTCTATTTGTACGATCCTTCACTTGAATCTTTCGTCCTTTTAATGGAAGAGATGCAATCTCTCCCAATTCTGGCGTAAACGAGCGACTCTGTATACTTAACATACATATCTTTGGATTGCAGAACGGAGCAACCTGCATCGACGGCGCCAATGAATACACATGCAAATGTGTCGGGGATTTTTCTGGCAAGTTCTGTGAGGCGGGACCCGCCGTGTACCAACAGACGTCGCCGTGTCAGCAGAATGACTGCCAAAACGGCATCTGCTTCGTGCCGCCAAACTCGCAGGACTACGTGTGCAAATGTTCGCCTGGGTTCTCTGGGAAGCACTGCGAGTACCTAACGCGTGTCAGGTTCACGCTCGAGAATTCCTTCATTGCTCTGGATTCCCTGAAGACTAAGCCATCGTCCAACGTGACTCTGCATTTCCGCACTACCGAAGAGGACGGGATAATTCTTTACGTTGGAGACTCGGCGCATCTCGCCGTCGAGCTCTTCAGGGGCCGGGTCAGAGTTTCCTACGACGTTGGCAATCATCCCATCTCGAACATGTTCAGGTATTTAGTGACAGGAACATAAAACCCTTCGTTAATTAACGAGTTAATTCTCAGTGCGGCCAACTCACTACAGCCTTAACATGGCTCTTGCCCCTTTAATTTTTCCACATCAATTGGCTGAACGCATAAGAACCTGCATTCGGAACTGAGGCAAATTGAAATAAATACATTCATTGAATTCACAAAGAATGTGCTAGAGCAAACTCTTTACGTTTTTATTTTTTGTTAAGACCACTAAAATTTGCCCGTGTCCATAATATATGTGCACTGCTCGTTTCCGAAATCAGTACGAACAAGATGAATACCAATACTTGAAACATGGGTAGGAACTTCGCTCCGTTGCTGAGGGACGCTACTAATTTCGTGATTTATGGTTATACTAACCACTGACCTCGCGCACCTGTTGTCATCTTAGCTTCAACCTCTAAAGTTTACTGGCACACACATGACTGAGCCGCATTTTATCAGCCCAGCTAGTTGTCTGCTGTTTACCTTCATGTCAGCATGTAATTTATCTGATCAAAGTGCGCAAGAATATGACAAATGGATGCAGGGTAATTTAAATGAAGTGAAAGACCTAGTATGTCCAATGATAGGTCTAAAACGCATGATTTGAATAGCAGTGTAGTGTACAAACTTCTCAGATTTCCTTAGTGCACGCTTATATTATTAATATATTGTAAGAGAAACTTGATAGGTTTGCATCTGGTGTCACGAAGGTGTAAACAAATTCCTATTTGTTTTCTTATTAAGCCCTATTTTATTTTACTTTGCTTATGTTTCTCTAGCGACGTTAAGAAAATACGTCAAATTAATCAAAGCTCGTGCAGGTACTTCAACGAATTTTTAGTGAATAAATATATACTTTTAAAATTGAAGCTTAAATTTAATCAAGGAACCTAATATGATGCATTTCTACATGAACTGAACTTATTGTCGTGTTATAATCGCATAATATCAGTAAACTGTTTTAAACGCAATTTCATAAAGCTGTTTTCATCGTTTGTAGTATTCTGCTAATCAAAAGTAGATTTCGAGATCATCAAAGCTGATAATTTGTTTTCAATCATCAGTTATCAATGAACTATTTTCATTTCTTTTAAGCGCATTTTCTCATTTATGAAAAAAATGCACTATTGTGCTCACCATGTCGGTCTGTCTGTCCGTCCGTGACCTCAAGTTTTCGTTGGCGAGAAAATGCGCTCTCTGTCACTCACTGCAGTGAGTACTGAGTTACATTTTTCATATTTTTAGCTACGAGATCGTAAGCGACGGCCGCTGGCACCGCGTGGAGCTGCTGACGCACAAGCAGAACTTCACGCTCAAGGTGGACGCTGGCAAGCCGCGCTCCATCATCAACGACGGCTCCAAGGAATACCTGGAGACGGACTCCCTCCTCTACCTCGGCGGTCTACCTCGCGAGATCGCCCGCAGTGCCGTCAAAATGTGGCATCTCCGCGACACCGACAGCTTCATGGGTCAGTTGTTTGCTAGTTGTTTCCTTCTTGATTTTGAAATTATTATTTCTCTATTTATTTTTCTTCTTGACATTTTTTTTTATTTCGACACATCTTTAATCTTAATTATATTTAAGTCTGATGTTGTATTTCTTAACGTTTTACTGAGCCCAGTGTACCACATGAAGGTACATTTAGTGCGTGCACATCGTACCTTAACGTGTTACTGAGCTCCATGTACCACATGAAGGTTGCATGGAGCGCGTGTACATCGGAGGGCGACTGGCAGACCTGAGTGCCGGCAAGCAGCACCAGGTGAACCCAGGCTGCGGTGGAGAGGAGGAGGTGCGCGACCAGGGCGCCTACCACCTCGCCCAGGCCGCCAGCCTTGCCTCCGAGGCTTCCAAGGGCGGGGCCCTCCATTCCGGCCCCCTCATCGCCACTGGCTTCAACTCCAGCAGTGTCACGCTGTTCAACAAAGACTCGCAGGTGAGGTAGACTCAGTTCTTTGCATATTACTGAGCTCTGGTAATGCTGGCTTCTCAATTCGAATAATAAAATAAACCTTGATATAAATGAGAAATAATAAACCTTAAAGATGATTCTGCTTTAGTAACTGGAATATGTTATTTGGAGCTCTAACACAAAACAAGCAAGAATCGTATAGATAGGAAGATTACATTCATATAAAAAAGTATCCTGATGTCATATTTTTTTGCTACAAGCGTGTTCTTCATATTTGGCATGTAAAAACATATCAATAGGCCTTGAATTCTTGAATAATATCATCTATTCTTGTAGATGCAAGTTCATCCTCCAGCTCGAGACGTAAGCTTCCCGCGTGTCGAGGACGACGCGACGTCGGCGTCTGATCCCTGCGAGGGCCACAAGTGCAAGCGCGGCCGCTGCAAGCCCAAGAAGAAGCATCCGGACCAATACAAGTGCCGCTGCCGCAAGGGCTGGTCGGGCAAATACTGCGATAAAGGTTCGTGTGAGTTTGGGATACCCTGTCTTGACGGTTATTTTGTCTCTAAATTCTATTACTAAGTACAAACATCGTGTCTTCTCACGAAATTTATTTTAGGATGATTAATTAGGTGTGGTTGGTGAGCTGTTGCGAGATGGGATGTTTCTTGCTATTGCATAATTTGTATTTATTACAATAATTATTATATAATTTAGCATTATAATTATTCAACTGGTTTAGTTGGTTTATGGATGATTGACTCACTATCACCAATGTAAAGCACATAAGTTACATGGACTAATCATTAAGTCAATTAAGTTGATTATAAACTCCTGATCATTTGCTTGGGCTTTTTTCAGTTGCGTCGACAGGTCCGTCATGTCGGAAGGAGCAGTTCACGGAGTATTACGTGGAGCACAGCTGCAGGTCTCGCAAGCCCATCAAGAACGCTATTTGCAGTGGCACCTGCAACCAGGATTGCTGCAAGCCCCGACGCACCAAACTACGCAAAGTTCGGCTTATCTGCAATGACGGCACATCGTACACCAAGGAGATCGAGGTCGTCAGAAAATGCCAGTGCACGCGACGTTGCTACTGACCGTTCATGTCCCAGCCCGTCTACTCCCTCCATGTGTGAAAGGCGTGTAATGTACCTATCATCGTCTGCAGTGTGTTCCTTCATTTTTGTCCTTGTGAAAGTTGTGTTATTAACCCGTCATGTTGTCAACAAACCCGAAAACCCTCCTCATTAAGAGGAAAGTATTTACTTTCGTTGTTTGTATGTAACGTATGGTGTGACAGGAAGCATTCGGCAGCCGAACTTTTTTCATTGCGGGAGTAAATGGTTTGAAACGTCGTAATCGAATATATTTGTGAAACATAAGCAAGCTATGTGCATTGTTCAGGCTTTGGTCACAAGGCTTGAGAGGCACAAAGTCTGCTTTGCTCCAGCGCGTCGTGGCATGAGACGAGGAGGTTGGCACTAACCAGCTGACCAAATCCCGCTTCATTGCACTATAAAGAATTCGACTCGTATTAAACTGTCTTGTGTTGCCTAGTACCGTATAACATGCTAGGTGCTGGAGTCTAATTGTCTCTGATGGTTTTACGCGTTAATCTTATAACCTTGTACTCTAGTTCTTGTAGCCGCGATGTTCACTGTTGTCTGGCGTGTGACCGCCTTGTTCTCTGTCGCCACATACAGAACAGTGGCCATTTTTATCACTAGACTAAACACTGACGAAATATTCTACTTTTATCGATCGATACGATATACTGCGAGAATTACTCAATATATGTTTTAATTCCTACCCGCTCAATCTTCGACACCCGCATCTACATTAACTAACCTCTGATGCCGATCTTCATATTTTCTCATCCTAGTCAATGCATATTCTGCTCGTCAAATTTTGAACTAATTTGCCGAACTAAAATCATTATTTTACTTGAGGTGTTCACAATAATTCACTACAACAATTTTTTTGCTTAAACTAAATTTTTAATTATAGAACTGCATTGAGTGTTCTTCTATGGAGGAAACATTGCTTGAGCAAGTTGATCATTTTGTGGGCTCCTTGAGTAACCCTACTCTGACTTTCAAATCTTTTAACTTGTCACTTATACTCGTAATAATTTAAAGGAATGAAATTGCTACGATGTTATTAATAATTCAAATTTTAACTGGTGGGAGTTGTTGTTAGATAATCTTAGGGGAAAATTAAATTGTTTTGCATCGGCTCTGTTGCCAGATTCAGGGGGATAATTTCTTAGCTTAATTCCGTGTCAATTTTATTCGTGTTGCCATCTTGGAAATTTTGACCAATTTTCTTCATGAAATTGCGCAAGGTTCCCACGCTCGTTTAAAGGTGCAATGAGTTAACATTAGTTAGGAAACTGTGTTCCTTGTTACCTGCATTACTTTCTTAGTTAGTCGTCGATCGAATGCTTTAGGGATGATTTGCAGTATCATCTTGCAATAAAGTTCAAACAGAATCTCGCTAAAAAAATTGTTGAACAAGAGCCCTGTTCCTTTATTGGGTTTTCTGACAAGCCTTTACGAGAGATGATTCAAATGCTGAACATGAATAAAAGGAGACGAATTTGATATGCAAAATGCTCATTTTTGACGAGGTTTTGCCAAAATTTTGTCATACGGCGACAGAAAGAGCAGTAGACACCGTCGATCTTTACCCGTCAGATCTTGTATCTGAACCGAGAAACTGGTTAGAATTGTGTAGTGGAAATCGTGTTAAGCGGACTATTCACTCGAATAAATCATATCTCATTTAATTTCACTATTGCTTTCGACTTAATTTCTTCTCTTATCGACCGTTGACTGTCGATTAACCCTGAAATGTCACTTGGGTGGATTCGTCTGAAGGCAGCGCTTCACTGTGGATAATGAACTGAAAACAACAATATGTTTTAACTAATAGCTTTATTTTGTACATAGATAATTAGTTTTAAATTCATCGTAAGGAATCGCTAATCAAACAGAGGCTTTACTGGCATATTATTCATGGCACCGTGAACTCCACGAACCTTCGCAGAGGTGAAAATTAATGCCTTGTTCATTTTCTTTGTATACCTGAAGTACGTTAGCACTTTTTTTCCTAATGTAACAAATTATCAGATTTTCTCGTAGTACGTTTTGTGAATAAGAGAGCAGTGGAAATTGTATACATGATTCGTTTCCATTATACATCGCAAATGCACTTAAACCCTTTGTCAACGGATGTTTTGTGCGTCGACAATGATGACCCTACCGACGGTAACTAGAGTTACCGTCTAGAGTTACGGTAACTAGAGTTACCGTCGGTGGACATTGTGTCAAGGTGCATGTTTGAAAATCTTATGGAGTTCCTGAAAACAGTATATGTTCATTATTTGATCTGTTCGCGGGGAGTAATGTGTGACATTGCAAGTTCGATTTAGAAAATTCAGTTAACATTATCATGACTGCAATGATCGTCATCTCTCAACAATTTCTAATGAAGTCAATATTGCACCAAGTTGATATTTCATTTGTTCCAGATTTGATTGGGCTGTAGTCTACATTTTCTTTACCGTTTCTTTATTAAGAGAATCGGTTGCCAATGTCAACAAATTTAAATCATTTTCGTAGAGTTAACAAGGCTCATCGTATGGCCGGTCGAACGAGTCTGTATCTGCGTCGGTAATTCTTTGTTCACATCCTACGGGCGACGGGGACGATCAGTTCTTATGTACCCTGCAGTTTATTTCACCAAGTAGGTCTAGGTTCGTTAATAATATGCTTTAAATAAAATAGATTAGAATTAATTCTCGGTGTAAAGTAAGTTAAAGTAGCTGTTAGTGACCGTCTCGAGTTATTGTAAATAGGAAACATTGTAGCAAGTAAGTTTTAATTTAAGTCGACGCTCTTTATATTATTAGATATTGTTAGTATTTAACGTAGCTGGCATTTGTTAAGTCATTGTTATTAGAGTAAAAGATGTTCTTGCCTGCCAGCACCAATCTGAAACTAATCGTTTTTTGTCCAGACTAACGTTCAAGTAAAATTACTCTTATTTATCTAACATGCTTCACTCTATTTAATTCAATCCCTAAACTCACGAGAGTTTACAATGATATCAAAATTTGATCCTAAATGTATCATTTCGTGCCATGTAGAGTCGTAAATATGTTGTGCTAGAACATTCTAGTACAGCATCACTTTAGGCTTGTTTGCCCTGAAGTCAGATCTTATCCAGATGCTCGCGGCTGTAAAAATGTTCATCTTGTACGAGTTTTTTTTACTTATGTTCACCGCTACTCCTTTTTATGCTATCACAGATTTTTTGTTATAAATTGTAACGTATGTCCTCGTGTGGTGGTCATTTCAGACGAGTTCACATACACAGAAGCCGCTTAGGTGGCAAAGACAATGAAATATTGTGGTGATCTTCGCTAAAAATCTAAATGTTTGATGCCTCGGCAACGACATTCAGTAGACAAGCTTAAGTGAAATCCTTGCTATGTCACACGGGAGTACGCAGTAAAAGCAAAAATACTCGATCAAACATTTTAAAGAAGTTCAATGTTATTGTAACTTGAGAATTGTTGTACAAACTGATGTTTCTTCGCGTAAACGTGATTACCTGATGATTTTTTATTTACCTTGACCCTTGGTCACAGTTAGAATAGAATAGAATAGAAGTGTCGGCGCTGAAGAAATAGGCCCATGGCCTTGTTTTTATTCAACTTGATGATGAAATGCTTTGCACCTTACGGACCAAGCAATAAGTCCAGCAGCTATGTCAAGCTATCGTCAGTTATGGAAAGATCGGGTTCCAAAGGCTGGATCCCTTGTGAATCAAGTCACGAAAAGTACAAGAATCTGCAACAGGCCATGGGCCTATTTCTTCAGTGCCGACAATTCTATTCTATTAGTCGTTGGTAAAATCACGCGTTATTCACTGGCTTTTGCGGTTAAGTCAAGTTTGAATAAGGTTCTGATTGATCAATGCGACAGGCCATCAGAACAGTCTGCAGTTCATCACTCATTCTGCTGCAGCTAGCCAGTCAGCTCTGCAGTTCTAGCTTACCTCATACAGTTGTGCAAGATCGATGGGATGACCGCGCATATAGAGAATATGCTGAATTGCATCTGAATATTTAATTTTATGTTGCACACCTGTTCCTTTGCTGCTTCATTAACTTATTTAACTGGAACATTGGGCTCATGGTTGAACTAATACTAATAACAATGTATTAATTCAACCATGATTGGCTAGTCTGCGAAAGATTGGCAGGATAGTGGGAATTTTAGGGAAGAATCCTTGCGATGATGAGAAATTCTTTGTAGGATTGAAAACCAATTGAGTAATTCTGAGATGAATTATAATGAGTAGCGTTAAATTTTTAAGAAAAATATCCTGGAAAAGTGCTCTGGCCCTTCATTATGATACCTTCCCAATCGATGTCAATCATGGAAGGTTCAGGCTAAATGAATCTCGGCCATTCACGGAAGTTGTGTCTGCGTTTAGTTTCATTCGTGTGTTACTTTCAATTATCTGAAATATATTTCATAAGCGTTTGTCTGCCACTTACAGTTCAAAAATGTTGAATTATATTAACACAGGTGATAACCTAAACGCACAAATAACCTGTATTTTTGGCTTAGTTGAAATCAATCGATTTAACGACCATAAAGCTAATGATGATGAATTTATTTAATGCATTCTGTCTGTTTTAAACGATAATTGTTCAACAACTATCCGTAAGGAACGTATTTTACAGTCTGTAACACAATTCGATGATGTTATTCAATGTCAAAAATTTATTAGCAGAGTTTTTAGTTGTTCTAATATAGTTTATTGTAGCAGTTCTAGCTGACGCCTGAATGCTGCGCCTGCAATTATGAAGTGCTATTCCGTGAACCTCAGCGAATCGCCCAACAGCTGATTGATCAAGTCGCATACCATTATGAAGCGCTGTTGCTTGAACTCCAGAAATTTTTACGGCTAAAGAAGTTGATCAAGTCACATGCAGTTATGAAGTGTTTGTTTAAACGCTACAAATTTCTGCGTCACTGCTAGTTGATCAAGTCGTATGCAGTTATGATGGTTCCTTGTACTCGATACATTCTTCCGTCTACAGAGGTTGAATCCAGTCGCATGCAGTTATGAAGTGCTGCTGTTGCTGGACGCTACAAATTGCTCAGTCACAGCTGCTTGTTAGTTTGATCAAGTCGCATGCAGTTATGAAGTTCTATTGCTTGATTCCGAACAAAAGTAGGTAACGAAGAAATTTTTGAGGCTTCTTCCATCAACAGCATTTCATAAAGGCATGCATGCGACTTGATAAATTTCAACCTGCTTTCGAATCCAACACTCTTTGTGGCATGACAGGTAACCATGAATCACTTTACTCGACGGTGTTCTAAAAAATTCTTTCTTAATAATACAGAGATTATATCAGAGTATTAGTGTAAAATTTTGTGTGTATTGCCATGAACTTGAAAAACTGCATTAGTCTCATTATTTGCGGTGTTACCCGAAAGTGTGCGGCGCTTCTGCTTTTTTCACTTGCTTTTTATTTACGCGTACTGTATATGCATATCTTCATATGCTTTAGTACAGCAACTCCGGGCCTTTAAAGCTAACAACATTGACCACGGAACTTTCAACAACAGTAGACAGAAAATTTATTTAGTTATTACCAGCGTTATTTACAGACTCGTAGCGATGCTGAATATAACCTATACGCAAGCGTTCGAATTCAAGCTAAAGAAAGCTGTCGCACCGCAGTGAAGACCCTCGAAAAAATTATTGCTAAAAAGGAAAAAAAACGAAAGCCATCTTTTTGCAACACCTCTCTTTAACTTCACTTATTGTTTGTCTGTCTGTCTGCTACAAATCTTATAATCGAAATTTAACACACAAATTTAACACACATCCTATCGATCTGAAATTTTGCACACTTGCGTGAAGTTGGA